GTTGGGTGTGTCCGTGTCACGTCGCTCGCATCTGATTGGTCCAGTTTCGGTTTGAGATCTAGTTTTCTGTGGGAAAATGCTTGGCGTGAAACTTGCATATTGTTCTCATATTCTGACAATTTATTGTTAAGGTGTATACTAAATTTGATCCTCCAATATCGTTGCACTCTTAATGGGCAATTTAGCACGTTGTGCTCCTATTCTAGACTCATCTGCTTGCCTGTATAGTATGTTTTATTAATGATGTGTATACTGAATTTGGCCGTTCAATATCACAATATCATTTTAGTACATTAGTACAAAGCTGGTAAAAGTAGCTGGCAGCCTTGCTTTGCTTTCCAGGTGGGCATTTCTATAATATGTGATGCATGCTTTGAATATATTAAAAGTAGATCGTGATTTATTAAGCTCCAAATAGTCCATATGTTAAAAGGTTTGCCTTTGAAGCCTTAAATAGGCTGAAATTTAAGTTGGCACCTCAAACGTGTTGCATCCAGGTTGGCCAAAGTCTGTGATGGAAGTTAAGATTATTAGACTATTTGGTGCCATCCAGCAGCTTTGACATTCTTCAAAATATCTCTTTTTGTTTTCCACGAAAGAAAGACTGTCATACAGGTTCGACGTGAGGATGAGTAAATGATGACAGACATTGTTTATAGTACTTGAATGGATGTTACACATTAAGCCATGTGGCATCAAATGTGCATGTGTGGGTAAAAGCAGGGTGAGGATGTCATATGGAAGAGGTCAAGACTGGGTCAATTATTGTGTGTTAGAGTCCAAACTTAGCTCTCACAGACATCAGCCTCGAATGTTTGCCATTATGTGCGTGCACAACCTTCCAAATCTAATCCAGATGTGGAGTTTAAGACTGCTGCGGATTGCATAAATCAGTGCCATATGCAAACAGCAGGTCGCTCTCCAGAAAGATGATTAAATCTGAGTTTCTCTGAGAATGGTGTGTGCTGGTTGGAAAGTCACTGCAGGATATGCTTGGGGTTGTATTTATGTCTCAGAACGTCATTCCTCTGGGCTTTTCAACATTTCTCAGTTTCGCTGTGGTGAAACAAGCAGGTGAGGAGTGTTTTTCTTTATAGGAAAAAACAAAAGGAGACGGCAGAGTTTGTGAGCCAATCGCACAATGCCTTCAGAAGATCAACGAGGCGCTCAACGGTGAGGATGTCCTTGAATTAAACCCTAACATAATTCTATGAATAAAAATGTCTTTCTCTTTTTCTTTGATTTCTTGGTTGTTTGTGTGTTTTGTCTGTAGTGTCCTCCTTGACAGCAATGGTGTCCAGACTAGAGATGATTGCCAAACAAAGAGGGTTTGAACTTTTCCTTCATATAGATATTGCACTCAGATTGCAAGATTCAATATTTTTTTAATGCATTAATATTAGATAATCAGCAGGGAAAATATTGCTTTCTTAAAGTAGTCATGAAATGGAAATTCATCTATTTTCTAAATGCACGTTGTTTTTGTGAACGATTCATCCATGCATGATTAATTACATTTTTTTTAATCATCATAATCATAATTATCCAACAACTGATGGATTGAACCAAGTCCTCAGCATACATTGTTTCTTTTTAATACTCCACTTCGCTCGGGTGTAACTTTAGAGGAAACAACATTAAACCAAATATAATTTTATAAAAATAGATTTAAAAAAAAATCTGATAATTAAAACATTCACACAAAAAAAAATAAGCTGTCACAAAAAAACACACTCAGATGTACTGTACGTCACAATACTGAAGAAAAGATATGTTGCTAATTCCATTACATTGCAACTTCAGGCTGCATAGCTTGAGTTTGAGGCAATATTATCTCTGTACAAACAATGGCAGAAGTGGGGATTATTCTGGAAAACCTGTTTGAAAACAGTCATTATTTATGCAGTTCCGCATGTTGCCACCAGAGACACAGAAATTACACCTTTACTCTGTGCTGAATTGATTGTTCAAATTAAGTTTCAGTATTTTTTTTCAGACTATGTATTGACATAGACATCTCTGTTTGCATTCCTCACAATTTAATACTGTGCCAATATTGTAAAACCTTGGATGAGTTCCGTATTTAATTGCAGTTACTTCCTTTAAACTCTGTGCAGCTGTCTCTCATCATTTAAGCTGACAGACTCCTGGTTTTTGTAGATTGGCGTCAC